ACCGAGGTTTGCCAGTCAGCCCAGCGAAAACGATTTTATTGAAAAGAAAGTTTACAACTATCTAATTAAGCCCAACAATATACATATATTTCTAAAGCCTACAATTAAGCATAAATGAAATGTGAATTAGCTACAATTGAAGTAAAATATAATCACAAAATTATGACCAAATACCATATAATAATAATAAAAACTGGGATGTTACATTGTGCTCACTACATCTGCCTAGAATGTCTTTAGTAACCCTGCATGAATTCTCATATTCTTTGCCCTCTCATTCAAGGTCATGTTCATTCTTTCAGCAACACCATTTTGTTGAGGTGTCTCAGGAATAGTTTTAAGCCTTCTAATTCCATTCTCAACACAATAATTAACAAATTCAATACTAGTGTATTCACCACCATTATCAGACTTTAAGCATTTAAATTTTAATCCTGTCTCATTCTCAATAGCAACTTTCCACTTCTTAAAGGTATTAAATACTTCTGATTTTTGCTTCAAAAAATAAACCCATACCTTTTTGGTGGAATCATCAATGAAGGTGACATAATATCGTGATCTTCCCAATGATGAGAGTGATGTTGGTCCGTACACATTTGTATGAACAAGCTCCAACTTCTCAACCTTGGGCATCCTCTCTAACTTGGCAAAAGTAACTCTCTTCTGCTTTCCAAACACACATGGTTCACAGAAATCAACTTCTACCTCTTTCAATTATGGAATCTTTCCCTTTGAGACTAGTATCTTCATACCCTTCTTGCTCATATGACCAAGTCTATGGTGCCATAGAGTCGAAGAGTGACCAACATCATTACTAACTAAATTTACTTCTTTTGCAGGTAATTCTACCATGTGAAGGGTTTCTTTCTTCCAGTTGCGAGCAACAACTAGATTACCTTTCACAACCTTCCACTGACCATCTCCGAATGTAACTCGATATCCCTGAACATCCAGCATACCCACAGAGATTAACATTATCTTGAGTCCTGGAATATATCTAATGTCCTTTAGTGTCCATACTGTACCTGCAAAAGTTCTAAGATTTATATCTCCCATGCCTACGATGTCTAAAGCGTCATCATCTGCTAGACAAACTTTGCCAAAATTCTCAATTCTGAAATTTTTCATCGAGTCCTTGTAAGGAGAAGCATGGAAAGATGCACCAGAATCCATGATCTAAGATTCAAACTTACTCTCAACGCAAAAAATTAACGCATCATCAATGTCTTCTTGTGTTGCATTCACTGTGTTGTCGTACCTCTTTTCTTTAGGGGCAAAAGGAGCAGTACACTAGTTTTTGAAGTGGCCATTCTGCTGACAATTCCAACAGATAATATCCTTGTGAGTTTTGGACTGTCCTTTCTTCTTTAACTTTGATCTATCATGCCCAGAACCTTGCCCCCTTTCAGGCCTTCTACCTCTACCTTTTGTGCTCAATAAGGAGCCTGTTGATTCTACGACGTTTCTCCTACGAACATCCTCACCAAGGATTAAATTCCTAATTCCTTCGAAGGTCAATTTCGTAGTTCCAGATGTACTAACGACTGCTGTGACAGTTCCTGACCAACTATCAAGCAACGAGGATAACAACAATAGGGCTTGTACTTCATCATCAAATTTAATATCCATTGATACTAATCTCGACAGTAAGGAATTAAATTCATTCACATGATCTGTATCACTAGCACCTTCTCCCATCTTCGTATTAACTAGTTGACGAATAAGAACTACCTTATTTGATGCTAATGGATTGTTGTACATGTTTGATAATGCCTTTATCATTTTATTAAAATGGTGTGGTGCAGTTTAGTGCAGTTTTTTTTAAAAAACCAAACTATGCACACCCCTACTTGGGCTTGATGGACCTTTTGGCTCCAGAGCCTAGTAATCTAGGTTTTATGTTTTAGTTAGGGTTGATGTGGACCCTTATCATTTAACCTTGATTAGACATGATAATCTTAATAGCAGAGGGTTCCCTAGTACAGTTTTTATGCAAAAGATACCTTCAAATTAAGCTTGGTTTCACCTAAAAGATATTAGTTTTATTTAAAAAATAACAATTATTCTTTTAATCCTTTTCTTTTCTATACATTGATAAGTGATTGATAGAATTATTGTCATAATTATAAGTTTATAATAAATTTTATATAAATAAAAATTATATTTAAATATATAAATTATATCTAAAATTTGTATAAATAAGTATTTTTTAAGCATATAAATTATATTTTAAATTTAAGATAAATATTTTATATTGTGGTACAAGATTATTTTTAATTATTAATAATTTATTTTAAAATATCAAAATTTAATTTATAAATAAATATGACAAATAAAAAAATTAAACTAGTTAAAAAGTCATTAAAAATTCCTATAAACACTATCGCGGAAAAGTAGTTTCTAATTTATTTTTTGCCATTTTCATTTAATATAATTTATTTTATATCATGAAAAGTGGACCCATTTTATATTAATTATCATTTGTTAATTGGCTTTTTATATGCAAAAACATATATTAATAAAATAAGAAAGATACCAAGCCTAGCCATGGAAGGCTGAATCTTCTTAGACGTGAAAACACATTGTATACCACCTAGAAGCCATTATACTTCCAAGCAGTGGTTTAAAACCCGGACCGACCCGGCCGGTCGGACCAGTTGGACTAGGAACCGGTGGTCCAGCAGGTTCGAATCTGAAGTTGGATCGGTTATGCAGTCGATCCGTTTCAAACCGGATTGAACATGTCAATTTTCCGGTTCAACCGGTGAACCGGTGGGTCAAACCGGTTCAACCACTTTTTTTTCTTATTTTTTTTTTAAATTTTTTTAAGGAACCATAAATCACAAAAATAATAATGAAAATTGAATCTCTTAATGAAAAAGCAAGGAGTCTTATTAAATATAACAATGACTACTTGTTCTAATATATTTGTTTGCAATATATACAACTTAAATAACTTTTATAGTATATTATTAATTTTAAATTATATATTTAATAATGCAATATCTATGTAAATATTACATATATTATTTTGTGATATTAATTGCAAGCATATTATATATGTACATATTATTTATATTTTTAATTTGTATTAATATACCGTTTAACATGTAATTTTTTTATGTATTTTTTTACAAAATAAAAATAAAAATAATTTTAAATAAGATAGAAAAATTGAAATTTAAAATAAGATATGAATTTATTAAAATTTATAAGTATAAAATATATTTAATAAATATTTTTTAATAAAAATCGAGTCATGCGGTTCAACTAGTGACTCACCGGTTCAACCTTTGACCCACTGACCCAGTACCTTAACCGGTTCGATAACCGGTCCGGTTTTTAAAACTATGCTTCCAAGTAAGAACTTAAATAAGTTAAATGGTGTAATGACGAGCTTGATTATTCCACATTGATTCATGGTATTGTTGAAGCATTGGTTATGCTACTCTAAGGTGGTTATGCTACTATAAGGTTACACGTATTTAATAAAGTACAAAAAAGAAAATACATAATACTATGTATGATATGAATTGCATGTAAATATAAGATAGGAATGGTTTGTTTTAAGAATATGTAAGCTAATTAAGTTTTACTTAACTAAGTGGAGAGGGGTTATGTCAAGGTAAACAAAGTGACTCATTTTGAAAGGAAATAACAGCAAAATACAAAGAATAGAAGATAGAAAGTTTCGTTTTTCAGTTCACATATCAACTAGGCAACATTTTTCAAATTGTAATTGGAGATTTGTTCATTATTGGATCAGACTGATTTTTGGTTAAAAGGTTCGTACGACATAACTCTTCGTTTTTAATGGTTGGATCGTCAGAAGGAGGTCTGAAGTGGGATAAAAGTGTCTCACAGTAACAACTATATTTTTGAGGTTTTTCATCATATTTCTCATTTGTAAGCAATTGTGTTTGATTTTCTTTGATTGATTGTAAGAATTGTTTTATGTGTTCATTGGAGACTGTCTTATACCCTTTGTTGATCATAGTAGAATTTTTCTTTAATTTGGACGACTTGTAATTTTTACCCTTACATTAAGGGATTTGCACACTAAAAATCTATGTCTCTTTGGGTTATCTATTTTTTTTTGGGCCCATGGACATGACCTATGTAATGTTCCAAAGTTGACAACCAATAACTAATCCGTAGTTATTCTTTTATCGGTGTTCCTTGCTAATTCTTGCAAGCGCTTTTTTTATAAGCTTGTTGTTATGTGTTGGATTTTCACATTTGAGATCTTAGTGTTAAATTAAAATATTAATGATTAAAAATAATCTTGTATTATAATTTAAATAAAGATCTTATATCATGTATTTAAATATAAGGCTTAAAATATGTTTTTAATCTCTTAACATGTAAATTTATTTTTAATCCTTCAAATTTAAAATTGATATTTTTAGTCCTATATATTTTTTTTTAAAAATATTGTTTTAATTCTAATACTCAAGTTTTTTTAGAGAATCAATCAAATATTGTCATACAAAATTTACATACTAGTATCTTTATTAGTTAAAACATAATATTAAACTTAATTAATGTTGCATAACTGTCTCAATTTGTTATTTTCATGTATTATTAATGACTTGGATGACTAAAATAAGATTTTTAAAAATTGCAGAACTAAAGAAATAATGACTTGAAAAAATAAAATAATATTTTTTAAATTATAGAACTAAAAAAATAATTTTAAATTTAAGATACCAAAAATAAATTTATCTTAAATTAAAAGGACTAAAAACATATTTAAGTCTAATAAATTTGTTTTTGATGCCTCAAATTTGTTTTAGTTTTTAATATCAATTTTAAATTTAAAAAATTAAAAATAAATTTATCTTAAATTTAAAAGATTAAAAATATATTTAAATTAAATATATATATATATATATTATTTTATTTTTAATTTTGAGGAAAGTTAAATGGAGAGGTTAAGGAGTGTGACGTCATGGAGGATTGTGTATTATAATATATATGTAGAAAAGAAAGCGGTGGAATTGTAAGAGCGTGACTTTTGCGTTTTCTCTGAAAATCGTACGTACGTTGGTTGGAGTGTTTCTTTCTCACTCCTCTCTGCAAGATCCGCAACCCAAACCCTAGCTAACCCCTACCGCAGAGGGAGCTGAGCAAGGACAACACCTTCACCCCTTCGCTTCTTCTCTTCCATCCAGGTACCTTCGCTTCTTCTTCTTCTTCTTTTCCCATTCCAACCTCTAAATTCTCCGCCCCTTCCCCTTCGATCCCTAATCAATCTACATCTTTTCTTTTTAATCCTTTCTCTCGCCGGCTAACTATTTCAAATCACCCTCTTTCCGATTTTGTTGGACGCATTAATGCTTTCTCCCAAGGTGGTAATCGTTTTGACAAGAGGAAGGGATGCGAATGGGACCAACCAATAAATTTGTTATGTCTCGCTTTTTTTTTTTTTTGCTGAATTGATTTTATTGGAAAAAATAATTTTATCATCTAGGATGCGCCTTAGTTTTTTTATATTTATTTATGTTGTAAAGAATGGAGACCAGGTTTTTCTAGTTTAATTTTTTTTTTCATTCGAAGGTTGTTTTGTTTTTAAATTACTCATGTTCACTTTCAATCTGATTTCTAAGACTTCAACATTATTGTCTGGTTTAATGACTGTTTATTTTTGAGTTAATGTTCGGACCCAAAGTGTGTATGTCGATTGGATCATGATAAGTTGGTGATGTTAATTGGCAGTTGGACTAGCTTTTGGAAACAATTATTATGGCAACTCCAGAGCAGCAAGCCGCACCCAAAACTCCTGCGGCTGATATTGTATGTATATCTACATTTTCTTTATTGAGCCTGATAAATGCTCCCTGTTAATTTTCACATAACTGACTGGTATTGAATGAACCTACAATGTAGGTTGGTAATGCCTTTGTTGATCAGTATTACCACATGTTGCATGAAAGCCCTGAGCTGGTGCATAGGTTTTACCAAGATGACAGTAAGCTTGGGCGTCCCGAACAGAATGGTATAATGGGTATTACAACCACAATGTTTGTGAGTTTTCTCTCTTACAATCTTTCTCTTTTGTTTTCCCGAAATATGCTGAGTAGTGTATACCCAACTTTCTTCATATTAAGATATCTGTAATACATTATATATATATATATATATGTATATTTTTTTTTGACATTTGGTGTATTGGTATCATGCTTGTAAGTGTGTCACTCCCAGTTCTAGCTCTTACTCCACTTCCCGTGTCTTGTCATAATTTATTCTTACCATCAAATGTCCAATATTGTACTATGTGCATATAGAAAACATATCTAAAAAAATAAGGTTAGATATTGATCCAGGAACTGACCAGATGTGATTAGTTGTTGTTGATGCCTCTTCATTTATTTACTTTAATTTTCTCCATTTTCATTATCAGATTTTCTGAAGTCCAACTGTTAACTTTGTTTCTAATACTTCTATGCATAAAATATGAAGGATTTTCTGTTTAAAACAAGTTTAATACTTGTCCCCTGATGTTAATGCATTCTTTTAACTATTTATCAAGCAGGATATTAACAATAAGATACTATCACTGGGTTATGGTGAACTCAGTGCAGAGATCATATCTGTGGATGCACAAGAATCTTATGGTGGAGGAGTCCTTGTCTTGGTCACTGGGTTTATGATAGGAAAGGAAAACATTAAACAGAAATTTACTCAATGTTTCTTCCTTGCTCCTCAAGAGAAAGGCTACTTTGTTTTGAATGATGTTTTTAGATATGTTGATGAAAATGGAATCCAAGAGTCTGCTCATGAGATTGCAGCTCCTGTTGCTCCTGACGCTGGTAGTTGTATAAGTTGTGCTTGCATTACTTTTTTCTTTTAGCTTTTTTTTGGTGTACTCTGATGCTCCTGTTCCCGACCTTTCAGCAACAGATCCTTCTATGCTGGAGACACAAGTTTCAGAGCAAATATCTGTGACAGCTGAGGATGGTGAGGAGGAGGAAGTCTACAATCCAGAAGATGGCCCAGAAAATGGTCAAGCTTTAATTGAAGAAGAAGAAGCTCCTGTACCCGAGGTTCTTGATGAAATTCCTGATGATTCCCAGATGGTAGCTGGATTGCCATCTCTAATTGAGAAAGTTCCAAAGCAGTCTTATGCCTCGATAGTTAGTCTCCATTCTAAAATGCCCTCTGCCTTTATGGTTATTTCAAGATCATACTGAGTAGCAATTGAACATACTTATTTTATATAATCTTTGATTTTATAATAGTGAAATGCTTAAATTGACCAGAATAATACTTTTAAATTCCTTTTATTTGCTAGAGTAATAAATGATCTGGTTACTTATTATTTTCCATTCTAAGTTGTGGGTCTTTTTTAGTTGAAGGTCATGAAAGAGGGTGCCATACCATCTTCTACTGTGACAACTGTTACTGTGAAGTCTGCCCATAAGAGCCAAGAACAGCAGGGTACTGCTGCACCTCCGCCATCCATCATGTCAGAGACAAATGGTTCTAGTATAAATACTAATGAAATTGGAAACAACCAAGAAGTTGAAGGTGTGTGGTCTCCCCTTATGTCAGAAACATAATTTGATGGTTCAAATTCAATTGTGTCTAACTTAGTGAAATATATTGACATGTTTAATTGGTCTTTGACAGCTGAGGGCTACTCAATTTATGTGAAGGGTCTGCCATCAAATGCTACACCTTCCCTCCTTGAGAATGAGTTTAAGAAGTTTGGACCTATTAAGAGTGGTGGTATCCAAGTTAGGACCCAAAAGGTATTTTTCACATTATTGCCCTGCTTTCTTTAATATTGGCTGCTAGCTGATATATTTACACACTAATGGGTTGAACAGGGATTTTCCTTTGGCTTTGTGGAGTTTGAAGTGGCAAGTGCTGTGCAAAGCGCACTTGAGGTATTTATTAAATGTACCTTAATATTCCATATGGAATCTTAATTTGTTTAATTTATCTTTTGTCTAATATAGAGATAATTTTTCTAATTCAAAATTTAAATAATTTCTTTAATGGATTGATTGCAAACCCTGGAATTATATTCAGTTCCCTTAATGTACTCACTTTGTAGTTTAATTTTTATCATCATATCCTCACCCTTCCATGTTTGTGATGCTTTTCTCAAATTCTGCTCATTCGAGAATTTTTTTTAGTTTGAAATGGTTCACTTAAAATTGATTCCAAATTGACTTTAACAAATTTGCCATGTTTATCATTCAATTTTACTCTGCAAGTATTTAGGCATCTGTTGATTTCTGGGAAAAACTGCTTTTTCACTGAAATTAAGAGGTGCTTCATTTGTGTTATAATTTTTATAATGTTTCAATAGTATATGATAGTAAATTTCTAGAAGATGCTGAGTGCTAAATTTTCCTCAAATAATTGCTCTAGATATTTCCTTTTTTAATCTTGCATTTTCATTGAAATTTCAGGCTTCACCAATTTTGATCAATGGCCGCCACATTGTGGTTGAGGAAAAGAGATCAACTAATCGAGGCAAGTTTTTTTTTTGATATTGAATCTTGCTATTTTTGTATGATGACAATGAAACTTCCATTTTGCATATACCTATCAATCTTTACATGCAATGATTTCTAAGGATATTGATTGCTTATGCACATGTTGAAATCCTTTTGAGAATGATGCATGTGTTTGAACTGAAAAAGTTCGAAGAAATTTGTCTACCATGATATATGATTGTAAGGAACTTTTGAGGTCATCCAATTAATTTTTAAGTTTGCTGTTGTTTTTTTTTTTACTCAATGGCTAGCACCGTATTTATATAAAGTGTAGATAATTAACTATTTGTATGCTTGAGGAATTTTTGTGGTTTCTCAAATATTACTTTGCTTACTAATTTTCTAGTTCTCAAGTTTATCAAATCATGGCTGTCTTCTCTTTAGTAAGGAACGGTGTATGTAATATTTGGCTCATTGGGGGAGAGGATACATATTTCTGGACACAACTTTTCCTGTTCTTTCTGTTACATAGTGCTCTGGACCTCGCTGGAGATAAAGCATTAGAGTCAGTAGTTTGCAAAGATTTTTGAATACCATCTTCCTCTACATTCTCTTTGTGTGCTTCTTAATTGGTTATGTGGCCAAGCTCGTAAATTATTATGAATTTCGTTTTGCATTTGTTCACAAAGAAATTATTTGTGGTTGTCTTATCCGATGCATTTGACATGAAAAGTGGGTTTTACATGGTGTTTTTTATTATGTTGCATTCAGAAGTCAACTGTTTACTTTCTCCGTTCAGGTAATAGCAGAGGACGGTACTCATCTGGCAGGGCCCCGGGGTACAGGGGTGAAGGTGCAAGAGGGCGTGGAAATTATGGAAATGGCAGAAGCTATGGTGGTCGCGGGGACTTTAATGGCAGGGACTTCAGTGGCAGGGCAGAGTATAGTTACAGGAATGGCAACCGTGGAGGGTTTCCAAGCCGTGGAGGTGGTGATGGGTATCAGAGAAATGATCACATGGGAACCAGCAGTGGCCGCATGAATCGAGCTGGTGGCTCTGCTGTTAATTCAGCAGTCAAAACCACAGGTGTTCGTGTTCCTGCTTCTGCTTGAGGAGGAACTTTCAGTTAAGGAGACATGCTGATTGAAACTGTGTTTCAATTTGCAGTTGGAGAATTAAGGAGCGAGCCTTTTTTTGGTTGAGCTACTTAAAGAGTTTCTTAAGGTCTTTTTTTTTTTTTTTTTTTTTTT